TCTCCAGAAGTTTTTTTTTTTTTTTTTTTTTTTTTTGTGGCAGACTGCTACTGTTCTCCCTTCTTCCTTGGCAGATGACTGTCAATCTAAAGACTACATTTTCCAACCTCCCTTATAGCCATTTTTGGCCATGTGACAAAGTTCTTACGAAGTAATGACTTTTTTATAATAGCACATATAATTACTTAACATTATATTATATATTTATTCCTGTATTGACCGTCTCCTCCACTAGGATGTAAGAGACATAAATGTAGGGACTTTGTTATTCTCTCTCATATTCTCAGCATCTAAAATGTATCTGGCATAGGAGGGACACTCAACAGATAAAGGAATGAATGCATATGGGAATCATTGCAAAGATATAGAGATTATTAGACGTTACAAGATATATGGGTCACATTATTTCTATAATGACGATGAACAGTAGGCCTCATGAAGGACAGTTTATCTTGATTTGGGTTACCAGTTGAATGTGGATGACCACCCTCTTTGTGCACACTTAGCATTCATAGTTTCAAAGAGCGGGGAACTGACTGGGTTGATTTCACTCGACAGAATGGAGGATTCCTCCTGTGGAGAGCTTCACCCACTTTAGAAGGTTGACATTTCTCTCATCCAATCTAACCACACAGGATTGCTTTTGGCTCAGTTATCTATCCAGGTCCACTTAGTAGTAGTAGTTTGCTGTATGCTGTTTGCTGTATGCTGACTTTATTCATTCCACTTAGTTATTACTGACACACTTGTCTTCCTATGTTTGAGTTCTCGGATAGGGGGGACTGTTTGTAATGGTTTCCCTGTTCCCATGTCAGGCAGTAGGCACATAAATGGACTGCAATAAATATTTGATGAATGAATGACCAACTATATGGTGTAAGGAAGAATAGTTACGAGTCCATTAATGAGGAAGGTCCTATCTAATGGCAGTGAATATGAAACTAGATCGATTTAAGAATTATTTGGGAATTAAATGAATAGGACTTGGAGGTATATAGGACATGGGGTATAAAAGAGTAAAAAATGACTTTTTAGGTTTCAGGTTGAATTTTGGTGGATGATAATAATAGCTGATATTCCTTAGGCACTGTGTCATGTAGCATACTAAGTGCTTTACATGTATTAAACCATTTAAACTCTCAACGACTCAGTGAGGTAGGTACTCTTATTAAAATTAGGGCTCTTAGAGATAACTTGCCCACAGTCACACAGCTAGCAGGTGGCAGATGCAAACCCAGGAATTCTGATTCCAATAGCCACACACATAACCTACTTTACTGACTCTAATAGATATGATCAGTGTACAGAACGGTCCTATTCAGTACGCCTCTCACATAAAGTGCATGTCTCTCTCTTACCAAACATAGACGCATACGGTGGTTGCCTTTTTTTGTCAGATTTTGTGGAGCTTGGTTATGTCTGTATTTTCATTCTTCCTACCTGAAGAACTCGAAGTGGGTGGAAGTTTGATGAAACAGTTGACTCAAAAGATGAGAGAAGGCAGGTACAGAAACGCCATTCTCGAATTCTCTGGGTTCTATCAGAACCCCCCCATCCCTCGCCCCCCCCCCACGGCACACACACGGCACACACGGCACACACACACACACGGCACACACACACACACGGGACACGGCGCACACACACACAAGGCGCGCACACACACACGGCACGCACACACACACGCCACACACACGCCACACACACACGGCACACACACACACGGCACACGGCGCACACACACAAGGCGCGCACACGCACACGGCGCACACAAAGGCGCGCACACACACATGGCACACACACACGGCACGCACACACACACGCCACACACACACACGCCACACAGAGCACACAGCACACACACACACGCCACACACACACACGGCACACATACACACGCCACACACACGGCACACACACACACGCACACACACGGCACACACACACACGCACACACACGGCACACACACACACGCACGGCACACACACACACGCACGGCACGCACACACACACGACACACACACGCACGGCACGGCACACACACGCACGGCACACACACACACGCACGGCACACACACACACGCACGGCACACACACACACACGCACGGCACTCACACACACACGACACACACACGGCACACACACACGCACGGCACGCACACACACGCATGGCACACACACACGCACGGCACGCACACACACGCACGGCACGCACACACACGGCATACACACACACACGGCATACACACACACGGCATACACACACACGGCATACACACACACACGGCATACACACACACACACACACACACACACACACACACGGCACACACACACACGGACGCCGAGTCTCAGGTTGGTTTTAGCAGTCCTCAACTCACAGCGAAGTTGCCTCTTCCTACTCCTGGGGAGCCCGACACGCTCGAAGTGAACCCGAGGCTGCCTCTCGGGCCCCGGGAAACACCGCCCAGCGCCAGCGCTGGCTCGTTCCCAGGGAAACCGCCCGCGGAGGCACCTGGGGCCCTTTCCGCGGCACCTGCGACGAGCCCCGCCTGGCGCCAGGGGGCGCGGGAGCACGTCGGCCCCTCGGGCCCCATGGCCCCGCCCTGCCCCTGTGAGGCCCCGCCTTCCCTCCGTGAGCACCGGCCGCTCCCGGCTCCC